AGTGTTTCAGCTAGAAGATAGAGGAGTCAACCGAGTCCAAGGGGAACTTATTATTGCATATGGATGAAATCAGATAATCCTAGAGGAAAGTATAATGCTTAAGGTTAGTTTTGTGTTTTGTTAAGTAGTTCAATTGTTTATGAGTCCATTCCAAAGTGAATTATAATCTCGAAAACAGAACACCAAGGAATGAGTCTATAATAAAGTGAAGCATGTCTACAAGTTTGTTCAACAATGTATATAACAGAAAACACAATATTACTTTTACAGCTGAATGAAACTTGTGGAGATATTAACCATCTTTCATATCCATGAGCAGGTACAAATTTAGTCTATACATAAAAGTTGTGATTTATTTTATTTTGGATAGGTACTGTGATATTCTATTATTCAAAAGTTAAATAATTTTGTGATTTTTTAAAGATTTCAGGCTAACTTCAAAAGCAGTGGTTTAGCTTTTGGAGAGTAATGCGGCAATATAGGCAATATTGTGAATTATACATGATATTTTGTTTATATATTCGAAAACAGTTACTTTCTTTGTATAAGCATGTTGATTTTTATGAATGAAATGATTATATGGACTCAGCTTTTTAAACTTTTGAATCACAATTTTTTTTGTTTTCTATTACGTTTAAAAAATAATAAAAATTTAAATAGAGAAAATATTGCATTTTTGGGTCGGTTGTATAATTGACAGTAAAACAAAAGAAACCGACGTTACAACAATGACGTTAAACTTGGCGTCACTTACGCAAGTGAAGCTAAAAATGCTGGCGTCGAACGATGTTACGACGTTTTAATAAGTGACGTTAATATTTTAACATCACTTTTGTACCGAAGTTAACTATTAAAATAAAGTATATTTTCCTCGATTCGACTACATTTAGTTAGAAAAATTAGAGTCGTTGAATAGTTTTATGAATCTGATGTAGAATTCATGAAGAACGATGATTACACACTTCCATCAAATTTTTGAACCATTGTCGAAAAAGTAAATAAATCAGCGGAAGATTTGACTTAAGGTAATAACTGATATTATTTTTTACTCTTTTATTCTAGTCAGATTTACCTTTGATTCACAAAGTGTCCTGTTTATAGACTTCTCTCCATATACTGGAT